AGCAAAAGTAATCCTGGGCAACAAAGGCAAGGCAGGAAGCATCACAATCCCTGACTTGAAATTACAGTACAAAGCTACTGGGATAAAATTAGCATGGTACTGGCAAAATAAACAGATCTGAGGATCAATGGAACAGGTTAGAAGATGCAGACACAATGACAAAGACACTCAGCCACCTTATCTTTGACAAAGGGGTCAAACACCTTCACTGGAAGAAGGATAGCCTCTTTCATAATCAGTGCTGGAAAAACTGGCTTTCCACATGCTGAAGACTAAAATTAGACCCATGTCTATCACCATACACTAAGCTAAAGTCAAAATGGATCAAAGATCTAAATATTAAAACAGAAACACTAAATCTACCAGAAGAGAAAGTAGGTAGAAATCTTGAAGATGTAGGGGTAGGCAGAGAGTTCATGAACAAAATCTAAACTGCACAGGAAACACTTCAAAGAATCAACAACTGGAATCTCACCTTATTAAAAAGTTTTTGCACATCAAAAGAAATCACCAACAGAGTAAAAAGAAAACCCACAAATTGGGAAAAAATTTTAGCCAACTGCCCCTCAGACGAAGGACTTCTATCTAGAACAGAAAGAATTTTTAAAAATCAAGCCCCCAAAATTCAAAGACCCAATCCAAAAGTGGGCATTTGAGATGAATACACACTTCTCAGAAGGAAAAGTACTAATGGCGAATAAATATATGAAAAAATGTTCAACAGCATTGGTCGTTCTAGAAAGGCAAATTAAAAAAACACTGAGATTCCATCTCACTCCTGAAAGAATGACTATCTTTAAGAAATGAACCCATAGCAAATGCTGGAGGGGCTGTGGGGAGAAAGGAACCCTTCTCCACTGTTGGTGGGAGTGTAGCTGGAGAAACCACTGTGGAAATCAGTGTGGAGATTCCTCAAAAACTAGGATTGGAGGTCCCATTCGACCTAGCTACCTCCCTTCTGGATATTTTTCCAGAAGAACTGAAACCATCATACCACAGTAATATACATGCACCCATGTTTATAGAAGCACAATTTGTCATAGCTAAATCTTGGGACAACCCAAATGCCCATCAACCAAGGAATGGATAAACAAAATGTGGTATTTTTATACAATGGAGTATTACTCACCTATAAAGAAAGATAAACTAGAGGTTTTATAGGTAAATGGATACAACTAGAGACCATACTCATAAGTGAAATAAATCAGACACAAATGTGTAAATATCATATTGTCTCCCAAGTATAAAAAACTAAAAGAATAAATAAAATCCAAGAGGTACAATAGACATTGTTAAATGGAAAGAAACGGCTCCAAAGGCAAGAACAACTGGGATGGGGAAAGGAGAAAAGAAGGAAGGGAAGAATATATATATAAAGATAGCTAAGATAATTGCACTATCAATTTCTATTCATTGAAAGGAACAGTTAGTGCTTATATTGTTTGATCAATTTTGCATGCCTGTATCTGGTGATCTGAGCAACTATTTTGAAGACAACAATATGCAATATAGTAACCATTGTTAGTTTCCTGTCATCTTGTTTTGAGATTCTATATCATTTTTATTGTTTTTCTATTCTTTTCAAAAAAAAAAAAGATGAAGTGGGCTCCGTGTGCCGAGCACACAGCACCCCGTTCACAAGCTGAGCCTAAAACAGACCTCGCGGGTGGGTGTCCTGCAGACCGTGTTTCCCCCGCGTGGAGTCTGGAAGTGCAGTCTTGTCTCACCCTGGAACCCGGCAGAATGTCGCTCTCCACAGAAAGCATCGACAACAGACTCTAGAAGCCCCATGTTGTTTTATTTGTGGCAAGCTGATAAATTACTTCAAGTTATTTTAAATTCTGCAGTTAAAAAAAAAAGAGCAGGGCACACGCCTGTCGGAGTCCATCGATAACACGGCATAAAATGAAGTAGGGGTCCCTGCAATTTTTTTTTTTTTTTGCTTTTTAACAAGAATATACCCCAGAGTCCATGCTTTAAGCAGTGACATTTTTCAGAAAGAATCGTTTTGTTTCTCCCCATGCTCTGAACACAAAGAGCACACTCAGATGCCCATTCACGCGCAGCCCTTCAGCAGTGTGCGCCCCGGTCCCCACGGGCAGCCGCCACCGCCCTCCCGGCTGGGGGAGGAGAGACACCTAAGCGCTGCACGCTGACTTTGTGCAACTGAGGCAAGTGGTGAAAAATGCATTTGCATAGGAAAAGGGGGCCTCCAATGTTTGGTGCTGGGAGCTGGCATCACCAAGGAAGCCACAAGGAAACCGAGTCCCAGGCCAGCCCGCATTCTTGGGCTGCCCTGCGCTGGGTCGCTCGAGAGTCCCTCCCGTGAGGAGCATGGAACAGAGCTCTGCGGGTCTTCACTACAGTCATAGAGCAGGAGGATTCCTCATGCATCAAGTCTTGGAAGTTTTCCTAAGTCTGTCAGGACTGAGGAGGACGCTGGAGATTCAGTGGAGGTCTAAAGCAGCAATCTGAATCTTTGACTAGAATGAGCCCCAGTGTCTGGAATTAATTTAACTCGCATTTCACAGATGTTGCTCATTTCAAAACTCGTGTCAGCCGCGGTGTCTGAGTTGGTGAGCAGGTGTTTCCCTTTTGAGACGCCGAGACCTACTTAAACATGGCTTTGTAGTAAATACACAATTGGGAAATAGAATTATTTTTTGGTAGTGGAAAATATTCAAAATAAGTATAAAAGGTTTTCCTTGATTTTCTCAAAATAATACTAATTAGTTCTTATCTGTTTCTATGCAGATGTTGAATCAGCTTTTAGTTTTAGTTTTTAATACGTGTTGCGGTGCCGGGGATGGGACAGATGCTAAGCAACTGCTGATCTATGGCAGAGCTGCGCTGGCGGAGCATCAGTTCATAAGTCAGTCTTTTCCTTACTCTTATGAATGATTGGCCAGTTAAAAAAAACGATATTTTTTAAATTTTGAATTTTATCAGGATTAATACCACAGCGAGCATGGCTGTCCAAATCAAGTCATGGTGGACTTCCTCAATAAATCAAGATTAGGGGCTGGGGATTTAGCTCAGCGGCAAAAGCGCCTGCCTGGCAAGCGCAAGGTCGTGAGTTCGGTTCCCGGTACCGCAGAAAAACCAAAAAAAAAAAAAAAGAACACCAAATCAAGATTAGGAAGGGCGTCTTATTACAGAGAGCATAACTTTTATGACATGACACACTGATATCTATGGAAGAAATGGAAAAAATGTATATTTCTGAGAAAAGTATTTCCTCACTAGAAAGATGTAATTTGTGCTTTTTTTTTTTTTTTTTTTTTTTTTTTTTGAGGCAATATGTAGATACCATGTAGCTCAAGCCGACCTTGAACTTACTATGTAGCCCAGGGTGGCCTCAAACTTGCAGCACTCCTCCTGCCTCAGCCTCCCAAGTGCTGAGATTATAGGCATGTACCACCACACCTGGTTCAGACCATGTAATCTGCACTTGATTAAAAACTGAAATAGCATAAGATCGAAGGCAGTCATCCAAGTCTTGGCATATTTGTCCAGAAACTGATAATAAAAATTACAGTGGTGCCCCAGCTCATGAACACTTTTGTTTACAAAAATGGTCCACAAACAGAAGCATTTGCCAAAGTTTTGTTTCTGTTTACAAACTGCATCAGGTGACAAACATGATCCGGCCACCTTTCCACACAAACGCAAACGTGGCCACCTTTTCACAGTCATAGAACAAATTAACTTCGTGAGCCGAGGTTCCACTGTATTTATAAATTAGTCCATAATGCCAATTTTTGTGGAGTCACATGACAGGGATCCGTTGAGAAACAAGCTGTACCATGATTTTCCCCATACATGCAGATTCTTACCTCCCAATTTTCTGTGCAGTAATGGGGTAAATCTGTATTAAAATTTTACCCTTTCCTTTTTAATTGTCTGTGTGTCCTGTGAAGAACCAAGTTTTCAGCTTTTCTCCCTGAAAAAGTGACATAAGTCAGTCAGTCTGTTTCAGATACAAATAACTCCACAGCCAATAGACAGTCATTCTAAACAGAAGCCTAAAGGAAAAGGAACAGAACGGAAGGAAGATAATACAGCAGCACTAGAAATGCCTTTGATGTTAAAATTGTCATAAAATTATTTCAGTCCTTCCTGAGATGTTATAAATTTGGTATCCCATATCCGCAGGAGTAAAACGCACCCCGGAGCTAAAGGGAAATGTCTTATGGTTACCCACGCAATGGTGCACGGTAATCCATGTCAGGAGTTTGCAGCCCTAGAGCATAGATCCAAGCCCTCCTCAGAGCGAGTGTGACGCTCTTAGGTCCCTACCTGTTCCAGATGTGCGGTCCCTGGGACGCCCGGGACAGGAGCCGCTGCCCAGATCCCGTTACTCAGTGAGACCATCGCAGTGTGTGTGCCGGGGTGTGGGATTGTTTTGTAACCGTGGGAACTGGTACTAAACTATCAAATGTTTTCTCCTCGGTACCCTACAGCGTGCATTCCGGCCCGGTGTCTCTGGGTCTCCACTTGGACAGGGCCTGTGACTCAGCTCTCTGCTCTGCTATGGTGGCTGAGTTTCCTGCCTGGTGAGGGAAAGGCGAGGGGGAAGGCAGCAGACCGCTGCAGTCCTACGGCAGACCCAGTGGCGAAGGCCTAGTTGTTCTCTGTCATGGAGACGGGAGGAGGACAGACCCGAGCACTCAGGCCCCTGCTGTGCAAAACTCCCCGTTCATTCCCTGACCCTCAAGCACACACAGCCTCGGTCATTCTACTTCTGGAACTTTTCCTCTCAGTTCAGAAAGCAAAAGACCATCATCTTCCCTAGTCTTCATTCAACTGAACTTAGCGTTTCCCTGCTTCATTTCCCACCTGATTTCCTTTGGGACTGGAAGAGTAGGGCTTAGATCTGCGGGTGCCCCTTACCTGGGAATGACGGTACATTCGTTTTCTTCCTTTGCAGTACGGAGAACTAAGTCTTGATGCTCTTGATAAATTAACCCACAGATATCAAAACCCATGGTAAGTACATATCCATACATTTTTCATTAATGAATCTCCTACCTAAATTAGTAACAGGGTTACTTTCTACCACTTTCTTGTATTTCATATAGATTTAGGGGTAAAATATGAATTTTATTGCTGATAAACACTATAAACTTTCACTATCTGCTGCCATTAATTGAGAGAAGGAAAGCAGAGCAAACAGTAAGAAACTGCCAGAGTGAAGGGAGGAGAGCGGAACGCTCCGCTCCTGAGAAGGGCGGCTCCCCGCAGGGAGGGCAGGCACTGTGCTGCAAGTGAGAACCAACAGAAATGACAACGGGAAGAAGGAGCGTGGCGACTGGACGAGCACGTTAGCTTTAAGTTCACAAACGATGCTTTCTGTGCAAAACGCTATTTTTTGTTTAAAAAGAAAAGGCTCGTTTCATGCTGTTGGCCTAGAAACCGTAATAACGGGGAACCTCAGTTAATAAACGGAACCCTACGGAAGTCACACGACAGCTCAGAGGCACGCTGTCCTAGGGTAGCTTCTAACCCAAATTAAACATGTCGAGCTCAACGCTTGTTAAATTACAGGAAGAAAGCAAACTCGGGGCTTGTCACGCAGAGGGGCACGAGGCTCAGACGGCTAGGTGGGAAGGCGCACGCCCGCACACAGCCGCAGCGTGCAGACTGCATGCCGTCTGCTGTCGTGGGTGTGTGGGGAGGACCCCTGGGCCTTACTTCACCTCATTTTTAATTTTTGAAGGATACAGCTATTAGCATGTACAAAATTACTGGATTTTAGTCTCTGCTAAAACCACAGCAAAATAAGCCGCATGAAGTAGAGACAGGACTTCCAAACCACGTCAAAAGCCCATCCGGGGCTGTCCCAGGACAGTGAAGGGCCTCACTGTGCAAGCCCCATGACTTGTTAGGGATGTCCCATACTTGAAGCTGTTCAGAAGGAAGTTAGCATTTTATTGCAGGAAAATTAAAAATAAAATATCATTTAATTTAATATTACTATCAAAATATAATTAAATATATAATAACTATAATATATAAATATAAAATATTTATAAAATGTTATATAAGATATTATATTATAATACATTATAAACTATCATAATATATTATAAACTATTATAATAAATATATTAAAATATAATTATTATATTAAAATATAATTCATTTGTTTAAATAATATTGCTGGCATACACTGCAAACACCCTATCATGTATTTCTGTACAAAGAAAAGCATCAGAGGCCATTGGGAATCAAGGAAATTTTAACAAGTGTTGATGATGAAAGTATGAAAATTTTCAACATTTATTTCAACATGAAAAACTTGTTCGAAAGTATATGAGAAATGTTGAAGTTTCTAACATTTTCCCTGGACGGAAAAATGTTGGTTACACTTCTTTCTGGAGACTAAGTTATAGATTTATCAGAACATGAGGATACAATATGTTTATGAAAAAAAATCTTTGTGGGATTGGAAATGCCGTTGGGAATTGGGCATAAATAATGAAGAAAAATAGTCAAATCTGTTGTATGTGCTGAATACCGTGTGGGTCAGCTTTCTGTTACCATAAGGAATGCCTCAGGTCAGCCTACAGCGGGGGAGGCAGGGAGCAAAGCCCCTCGCCTCCGGCTGGGAAATCAGAGGCAGAGGGAGGGCCTGGGGTCACTCTGTCCCCTTCGGAGTGCGCCCTAGTGACCCCAGACTGCCCTTGCCAGACCACGGCTTTTTGGGGTGCACTAGGGATCAACCCACATCTGGCCGGTGCTAAGTGGGTGCTCGGCCACCGACCTCACCCTCACCCCAGCTCGGCCCTGGGGCTCTGCCCCCCTCAGCATCAGTGCAGCTGGGGGCCAGGTCTGTGTGCCTGGCCTTTGGGGATGGTTACCCCAACCTCAGCAAACACCCAGCTCACAGTGGAACGGTGACTAGAAAATGGCAGCCGCACAGTTTTAAGATGTTTAACAGCCAGGGATATAACTCAGCGGCACAAGTGCCTGCCTGGCAAGCACAAGGTCCTGAGTTCGATTTCTAGTACCAAAAAAAAAGATGCTTAGACGCAGACCCCCCTCAGGCATGCTGCTTCTCACACTCAGACCCGCACCCAACAGTGCTTCCCGCCGGGTCTGAGCGCCTCCCCCACGGGCCCCTCCCCGTCTTGGGCCTGGTTGCGGCCCCAGGAACCACCACGCTCTCAGCTGGGCTTGCGGCTTCTCCTGGCAAGACTGGTGCTCAGCTGCCCAGCTGGGCATCTCGATCAGCAGTATTTACCATCCAGCTCGGCCCCTTCTGCTGAAAGCACTGCTAGAGTAGCATTGGTGAGCACGCCAGGATCTGCCCTCACGGGGGAGGAGAGAGGCCTTAAATTACCAAGTCTTTAAACATGTGCTCTCCCTAGGCTGTGTGTGTGTGTGTGTGTGTGTGTGTGTGTGTGTGTGTGTGTGTGTGTGTGTGTGTGTGTGTGTGTGTGTTGCTGGGGATCAAGCATGCTTTTTAAGTTTTAAAATTATAAACATAATTCATGCTGCAGCAAGCAAGCAAACAAGATAGAGGTGTATTGAGAAGTTCATATCCTAGCCGGGTCTACCCAGCTTGTGCAACATGGCCCACTACTGAAAGCCCTGGCGGGATGGAAAGGGGGTTTCCTGGCTGCAGAGTGGACTGCTCCCTGCAGAGGGGCTGACATGGGCTCTGGATTAAGCCCCACTGGGTGAACCAAAGCATGCTTTGCAGAGCGCTTACCTTACCTCCTCCTGTACATAAGTTCATGTGAGTGATGGGTTCGCCCTGTGTGTTGATTTGGGGCGGCTTATTTTGCAAGGGGAACAACATAACACAGGACACATACTTTATATGATTATTTATAAGTCACCCAAAGAACA